TGATATACCCCTTATATATATATATATATATATATATATATATATATATATATATATATAATACTATATTTTAGTTTGATAATATTTTTTAATGGTACTGAATTACATTACATTTATGCAGTAGTTATAATCCATTTATTACCTGTTAACCAACTTTTGAGCATAGATCTGAAAATGAAATTTCCTTTATAATAGTTTATAATAATAATTTGAAGAAGACGCTTTAGCAGATTACTGCTGTAGTAAAAAACAAATTTAAAGTGAAATTAAAGTTTATGAAAAACGCATAAAAATACTATTTTCAAATTGTACATGAAATATATATTTTCCAAAACATTTTTTACTCTACAGTTGCATGAAAATCAAAACCATAAATCTAAACAATTTGTTTTCTAAATTTGAGGTTGATGTGTCAAAAAATGAGGTTCAGTAAGATTTTGTTTGGGCACAGTACCAAACGTTTCCACTAGATGAAATTCATTTTCTATTCATTTCCATTGCGGTCATTTTTGACTGGACCATTGAACCTTTTTGAATTATGTCCATGATTATTTTTGGTGTTCACATAGCAAGTGTCCTAACATTGACAAAGTTTCATACCATTCTGATGAAGTAAAAAAAAAAAAAAAATCTAAAAAACCAAAACGTAATTTTTTTTGTCAAAAATGACAAAGGGCACCAGAGGGTTAAAGGTGTTTTATTGTTGATGTTCAGAAAACACTTATTCATGCCTTATTCTCAGGTCATTGATTGAGCTAATATATAGTTTGTTATTCTCCTTGGTGTCGCTTGTGGCTTAGAAATGGCACACTGCAGCTTTAAGTTAAAGGTGACTGCATTAATGTTCCGACACATGATATTCCTGTGCTCTGTTTCCATATGGCAGCTCCCCTGACAACAGAATCAGCTTCAAGAAGTGGGGATCAATTTAATGTGTTTAGAGATTAACAGCGATATTTGACTGCAGATGCTCTTCATCAAATAGCCATCAGCAAAGCCAGATGTCTCCTCTGAGTTCACTGTGACCTTTTCATAACACCGCGCTCTCTTACCTCACACCTCACTGCATATACAGCACAAGTGCAACGTCTCATGGGAGCAGAGGAAGCTCTTCTGACCTTGTTATCATTTGTTCCTCACATGCTTTCTCGCTCACTCTCCTTCTCTCACCTTTTCCCACTTTTCCACAGTCATCTCAACCTCATCTTGACAGTATTTTACACTATTAATCTGCTTTAAGAGATGGTTCTCCCAAAAATGAATATTCTGTCATCATTTACTCGCCCTCGTGAGACTTTATTTCTTTTCTTTATTTCTCCTTGTGTTCCTCAACAATCTGAGGTTAACAGCAGAGCTAAGATTCAAGCTGTTCTAATGCTCTGAAAATGTTTAATTACGTTAAAAATTATTATATCAAAGGGATAATTGACCCAAAAACAAAAGACTCCATAATTTACTCATATATGCACAGTATATGAAGATCAGAACAACACTGAAAAAAATGGTAACCTGAAAATGGTAACATCAGTCAAGCTTTATTCAAGCCAAAAATATTATTTAATATCACTGAATCAACCTAAGTAGAGGTTGTATGGGTTACATCAAGTAGAAAAAGTTCTTTAAGGGAACAATAGCAGGTTACCACTTTCTACAGTGAACACTGGACCCCATTGCCCATTAACTATTTTCAGTTTTTTTACATTTATTTTTAGTTTAAGTTTCAGAATTTTTGTTATTTTATGTTGTCATTTTAATTATTATTATTTTTGTTTTTTATCTAATAAAATATATTTTATTTTATAATTGTTTTATCATTTCTAATCAAATCTAATCATTTCTAATCATACATTTAGATAACAATAACAATACTGATACTGAAAAGTATTGATTAAAAATAGTTCCATCTAATTACTTTCACCAAACGTTCATATGCTGCATATTTTTATGCTTGTTTTTGTGTCATTAGCTCAGCAACATTTTACCGTACAAAAATGGACCGTTTTCACGGTCTGTGATGACACATTTCGATGGTCATAATCATTATAAATCCTGCAAACAACAATATACTTTGTATTATATTACCTTTGCATCAAATTACAAAAAAAATGTGTTAGCGCTGCTGTGAGAGTGTTTCTAACACAGTGGCAATGGGAGTGATGATAAATTTGACATTGTTCTATCTTCTGACTGCCATTATCAATCTCTCTATTTTTTCTTTCGCTATTTTGAGTTTTTCTTTTGCTATTTGAGCAAATGGTTTACCCAACTATGATGAATTCCACTTGAGAAACCTGTAAATGTTAAAAGGTATCAGTTGTGAACTAAGTCTCATGTTTTTGTGTGGCACACCTGCTGTGAAGAACGTTCTAAATCTGTCACTTATGAGGTTCCATGTCAGATAGATGCCATCAGCTGCTTACAGTACATAGGCTGTAGACAGCAAGACAGCTTAGTGGTTGTTGGAACAGAGCTCCAGATTAAATGGTTCCTGTTGATGTTTTCTCTTTTTCGCTTTTGCTCTTTCTTTGTGCATTCATACAATGATTAGTCAATAAAACATTAATTAATTCGCTTCCTCTTGCTGTGTAAGCATCTGCTATTGTCTATGAGTTGGTGCCTATATACTGACACACACCCTGCAACCTGCACACTTAAAGGAACACTCCACTATTTTGGAAAATGGGCTCATTTTCCAACTCCCCAAGAGTTAAACAGTTGAGTTTTACCGTTTTCGAATCCATTCAGCTGATCTCCGGGTCTGGCGGTAGCACATCTTAGCATAGATCATTGAATCTGATTAGACCATTAACATCTCACTCAAAAATGGCCAAAGAGTTTCTATATTTTTCCTATTTAAAACTTGACTCTTCTGTAGTTACATCATGTACTAAGACCGACGGAAAATGAAAAGTTGCTATCTATATTATAGAGGAACTATACTCCCATTCCGACGGAAAGTTGAAAAGGGATCGCAACTTTTCATTTTCCGTCGGTCTTAGTACACGATGTAACTACAGAAGAGTCAAGATTTAAATAGGAAAAATATCGACACTCTTTGGTCATTTTTGAGCGAGATGCTAACGGTCTAATCAGATTCAATGATCTATGCTAAGCTACAGCTAAAAGTGCTACCGCCAGACCCGGAGATCGGGCTGAATGGATTCGAAAACGGTAAAACTCAACTGTTTAACTCTAGGGGAGTTGGAAAATGAGCCTATTTTCAAAAATAGTGGAGTGTTCCTTTAAACACTGCATTACTGCAATGCAGATCCCCCCCCCCCCCAAAAAAAAGCATGGAGTGGCATGAAGTGTTATTAAGTGACACTGTTGGTTCTCATTATTTCATAGCCAGGCTGGCTTGAATTCAGTAAAATATTAAAGTCAGGAAAAATAAATGACAGATGTTTTGCTTGATGAATGATACTGAAGGTTCGACAAGTGCTGCATTAATGTAGAAATCACATCTCCTTTGATATGTATCACTCATTTAAATGATGAAACAGATCCAGTGATGAATAATAAATTCACTCAGAGCACATTCAGAAAACTGACAGCCTAAACGGAGCTGCCCTTTCTCCCCATTTCTAGAAAGTTTATACAACATGTCCTTGGCCAGGCTAATTGGTATAAATTGTTGGGCCGTTTTGAGTTCTTTCATGATATAAGTAAGGCCCCGGCAGACTCATTGACTGTGGCGGCTCTCCAGGCCTCTGCAGCCAGAGATGATTTATTTATGCCTGCATTTCTGATACCTCTCAAACTGTGATCTAATATCAACAGACAGCCTGCCAAATTGAGCAGATTGGCTGTGACTGTGAAGGAGAGAGGGGGACAGATCTGCTAAAATAGGGGCCAAAGGCCCTCTGATCTACCACCGGACCCCGTTTTACTCTCACTTAAAGAGAGTTCACGCAAACATAACAATACTGTCATCATTTACTCACCTTCTGTTATTGTGCCATACAGGTTTGGACAAAATTATTTTTTGGGTACAGTATCCCATTAAATTATTTTTTTAGCTATCATTTAGCAGTTTTTTGTGATCAGATCCCAAGTTATATATATATATATATATATATACTGTATAACTATAAGATATAATAATTTTTGTTAAATCATAGCAGTGTTTATCTGACACTAGTAAAATTACTAGTATCTCAGTTGGATGACAGGAAAAGCAGATACGTTTACACAAAATAACAACTACAAAAATAAAATACATAATTCAAAAACATGGTGATGAACAGCAGAAATTAACTGTATTTTTTCTACAAAAAGGACTGCAGTGACTCACTAACTAATGAACTGTTCAAATGAATGAACTAGCTGAAATAACTGATTCACTGATTCAAATTAACCGATTCACTTATGAATTATTATCCTTCCCAACACTAGCAAATATGCATTGATTATTGCTTCAGATTACCTTTTAAACTGCCTATCTGGACAGTATTTTGCACTATTATGCTGCTTTAAAAGGATAATTCAATTGAAATAAAAACATTTAAAAGTCTGTCATCATTCTGTGATCATTTGTTTTATTTTTTTTCATTTCTAAATTATTTTTGGTTTTCTTTTGTGTTCAGAAAGAAATTCATACAGGTGATGAACGATATGAGGGCGAGAAAATGGCTGTTTTGACCCAGCGGTTGTGTTAAATGTTTAACCCAACCTTCTGGGTAGAAACCCAACCGCTGGGTCAAAACAACCCAATTGCTGGGTTTGTCCCTATTTTACCCAGCACTGGGTTGTATTTAACCCAGCATTTTTTAGAGTTTAGAGTGAGTCTGTTACGGGTATTGGTGCTGTAAGGAACACAAGACGGCAGAGAATTCCAAATAACAGTCATTTAATAAATCCACAGAAGAAACACTGGAGAAACTTGGGGAAAATGCAGCACAACCAACATCTAACATTAAACAATAACCGGCAAAGGACTGAACAGAACAGGGAGAACTTATACAGAAACTAAATGAGGGAACTAATGAGATGATTAATGAACACAAGTGAACAGAATTAACTAATCAGGGGTGGGTTTCCTGTACAACGACGTAACTCGCTGATTAACCACCATAGTATGATGCATTGTTGTTGAAACGAACTAGCTAGTTACGACTGTTTCCCGAACACGGTCACATCTCCGTCGTTTGAACCACATTAGTTCAACAACATAGGGCCATTGTTAATGACGTCACATGCATGTGGTGGAGGAATAACTTCTGCTATTTAAACGATTAGACATCTCTAAGATGCTGCTGTATTGAACATGGCACCTGATGACTAATTTACTATTTTTTGTTCCCTGTCATTTTGATTTATTTGATGTTTGATTCATCACGGGTTCCCTCCTACGTCATACTCCGGGGTTTCCTTAGGTATTTGTGCACAGTGTTCCTGTTCACCTGTCTTCGTTTTGTAATTGACCTAGTTTTCCTCAGTTGCCCTGGGGTGCGTTTCCCAAAAGCATCGTTAGCCAACTTTGGTCGCAAGTTCCGTCGTTACCAACATAGTTCAACGATTCAGTGTTTCCCGAAACCATAGTTCAAACGAACATTCGCAAACTTACGTGGTTGGAACTACAGCTCTCGACCTGTGGTTAGAAGCATAGTTTCTTGTTAGCAAGGGATATGGGCTTAAATAAATATGCTATTGGGCACAATGAGCAAGCTAACATGCAGTGCAGTCTATATATTCCATTCTATCTAAATATAAATACATTTTAATCTACGTATGTTAGCGCGTCCTCTAAAAAAAAGCAATTTTTGAAGAGTGCGCATGTGCACAAATACCTAAGGAAACCCCGGAGTATGACGTAGGAGGGAACCCGTGATGAATCAAACATCAAATAAATCAAAATGACAGGGAACAAAAAATAGTAAATTAGTCATCAGGTGCCATGTTCAATACAGCAGCATCTTAGAGATGTCTAATCGTTTAAATAGCAGAAGTTATTCCTCCACCACATGCATGTGACGTCATTAACAATGGCCCTATGTTGTTGAACTAATGTGGTTCAAACGACGGAGATGTGACCGTGTTCGGGAAACAGTCGTAACTAGCTAGTTCGTTTCAACAACAATGCATCATACTATGGTGGTTAATCAGCGAGTTACGTCGTTGTACAGGAAACCCACCCCTGATTAGTTAATTCTGTTCACTTGTGTTCATTAATCATCTCATTAGTTCCCTCATTTAGTTTCTGTATAAGTTCTCCCTGTTCTGTTCAGTCCTTTGCCGGTTATTGTTTAATGTTAGATGTTGGTTGTGCTGCATTTTCCCCAAGTTTCTCCAGTGTTTCTTCTGTGGATTTATTAAATGACTGTTATTTGGAATTCTCTGCCGTCTTGTGTTCCTTACAGCACCAATACCCGTAACAGACTCACTCTAAACTCTAAAAAATGCTGGGTTAAATACAACCCAATTGCTGGGTTTGTCCCTATTTTACCCAGCACTGGGTTGTATTTAACCCAGCATTTTTTAGAGTTTAGAGTGAGTCTGTTACGGGTATTGGTGCTGTAAGGAACACAAGACGGCAGAGAATTCCAAATAACAGTCATTTAATAAATCCACAGAAGAAACACTGGAGAAACTTGGGGAAAATGCAGCACAACCAACATCTAACATTAAACAATAACCGGCAAAGGACTGAACAGAACAGGGAGAACTTATACAGAAACTAAATGAGGGAACTAATGAGATGATTAATGAACACAAGTGAACAGAATTAACTAATCAGGGGTGGGTTTCCTGTACAACGACGTAACTCGCTGATTAACCACCATAGTATGATGCATTGTTGTTGAAACGAACTAGCTAGTTACGACTGTTTCCCGAACACGGTCACATCTCCGTCGTTTGAACCACATTAGTTCAACAACATAGGGCCATTGTTAATGACGTCACATGCATGTGGTGGAGGAATAACTTCTGCTATTTAAACGATTAGACATCTCTAAGATGCTGCTGTATTGAACATGGCACCTGATGACTAATTTACTATTTTTTGTTCCCTGTCATTTTGATTTATTTGATGTTTGATTCATCACGGGTTCCCTCCTACGTCATACTCCGGGGTTTCCTTAGGTATTTGTGCACATGCGCACTCTTCAAAAATTGCTTTTTTTTAGAGGACGCGCTAACATACGTAGATTAAAATGTATTTATATTTAGATAGAATGGAATATATAGACTGCACTGCATGTTAGCTTGCTCATTGTGCCCAATAGCATATTTATTTAAGCCCATATCCCTTGCTAACAAGAAACTATGCTTCTAACCACAGGTCGAGAGCTGTAGTTCCAACCACGTAAGTTTGCGAATGTTCGTTTGAACTATGGTTTCGGGAAACACTGAATCGTTGAACTATGTTGGTAACGACGGAACTTGCGACCAAAGTTGGCTAACGATGCTTTTGGGAAACGCACCCCAGGGCAACTGAGGAAAACTAGGTCAATTACAAAACGAAGACAGGTGAACAGGAACACAAACAAAAGTCCATAACCGTGACAGAGTCGTGCAGCTCTATTTTGGACTAACTGTAATTTTTTACAAATCTTTACTTGATGCACTCGACCACACCGCTGGACAGTAGTCTAAATAAGTAAGAACCATTGTTTGCGCAATTTGAGAAATGCAATATTGGGTAACACTTTAGTATAAGGAACACTTCTTACTATTAACTAGTTGCTTATTAGAATGCCTGTTATTAACATATTGGCTGTTTAGTAGTACTTATAAAGCGCATATTCTGCATCCCTAATCCTGCCCAATACCTAAACTTAACAACTACCTTACTAACTATTAATAAGCAGCAATTAGGAGTTTATTGAGGCAAAAGTTGTAGTTAATAGCTAGTTAATATTGAGAATTGGACCTTAAAATAAAGTGTGACCCAATATTGTGGTAAAATTTTTGCACATCTCTTAATAACCGATAGACCTCTTCCCACAACTGTTGCTATATTTTCTAGCTGTTTTGACCTCTTCAACCTGCTATCTAGTAGAACTCCAAAAAGTCTGGTTTCCTCTACCTGTTCAATAGGCACACGCTTTACAGACAGATTTAAATTGAAATTTGATCCAAACACAATGCTTTTGGTTTTTGTTAGATTTAGAGCCAACTTATTTTACATACCCACTTTACAGCTAATTGCAATTCCTCATCCAAATCAGTAGACAATTGTTCAATTGATGTTGCTGGTAAACACAATGTTGTATCATCTGTGTACATAACTGTCCTTTGCACACTTTAAAACAAGAGGAAGTTCATTGGTAAAAATAGAAAATAACAATGGTCCTAAACAGCTTCCTTGAGGCACGCTACATTGCAACTCTTTCACTTCTGAATAACTTCCATTATAGAATACACATGGTCTCATATTAGTCAGATAACTTTTATGAGAAGTAAATTGATAACATTTCAGTTTTTCCAGCAATAATTTATAATTCAATACATCAAAAGCTGAGCTAAAATCTAACAATACTGCTCCTACTAAGTTATTGTTATCAATCTGTGCTAAGCAATCATTTGTCATTTGTGTTAATGCAGTTCCTGTTGAATGTCCTTCCCGATATGCATGCTGAAAATCAGAGAATAAATTATTCTCCTTAAAGAAGGATTGAATTTGCACACAGACTATCATTTCAGATACTTTACTAAGAACTGGTAGCAAACTTATTGGTCGACTTAAACTGAATGCTAAGTTGCTAAATGCTATTATTCTTAAGGAGTTAAGGTTTCCTTGATAAATTGTCTAGACTCTTGGCTATTGATGTTAGTGGCAGGGCTCATGCTCATGTTTCATTATCATTGAATGTTTCAACACTTCTGGTGGGAGGTGCTTGAGCTCTGCTTATTAAACACGGTTGTTTTACCTCAGCCAATCAGACATCCTCACAGATCCCCGCTGTGAATCCCGCTGCCCTACTTTTAAGACGCTGTGAAAATTGACACTTTCTCTAGCTTCACTTTCCCTTTCTCTTTGAAATATTATCTCTTCACTGTCTGCCTTCACTGGCATCTCTCTATCTTGCAATTCTGCCTGTTAAAATAAAGAATATTTTTGCAGGTCCTAAAATATGATCATTTTGAGCTACTCGCACATAATAATAATTATAATAATAAAATATAATGTATATACTGTTCAAAATATATTACTCTCTAAAATGTGGCAACACTTTACTATAAGGTTCCATTTGTTAACATTAGTTAACATGAACAAACATTGAAAAACACATCTACAGCATTTATTAATCTTTTATTTGCTAATACATTATTACAACTATTACAATTTTAAAATGATTGAAACAATGAATAGCTGTATTTTTATTAACTAACATTAACAAAAAAAATTAAACTGTTACAAATATATTGCTTTTTGTTTAACTAGGACCTTATCTATAAAATGTTACCATACAATTTAATATATCTAAATTAGTATATAATAAAGTATAATATAATAACTATTTATTTAAATAGAAAAACTGAAATTATTTAATAACTGAGTTATGTAAATAATACATTATAATCAAGCCTTTATTTAAATGGCCTATACAGAAGTTACATAACCATAGTTTATTTTAGTTAAACATCCTGTAATAATGCTTTTCTAGTGTGCATTGTCTTGAGTTATCTTTAGTTTACATAATTTAATATCTCCTATCTGTCTGTGTTTTAATGAATTTGTTGTCTAGTTCTTTTCTTATTATGATCTGGTCTTCTTAAAGGACAAAGATTTCCTTATTGCTAATCTGCATTTGTTAATTGTAATTAACCTGCAGGTTACTTCTGCTGACACACTCTGAGGATTTTTAGGCAAATTAGCTGAAAACGCATTAATGTGTCCTTTACAGAAAGGCCATTTAAATAAAGGTTTGCTTTTATAATTAACTTGAAAAGGTGCCACGGATTTTATTTAGTATATATTTGTTTAATAATTAATTAAAACCCAAACTAATGTTCCAAATCATTTCTGTTATATTGTCAGCCCATCTGAAACATTAAAATCTCATGCAATCTCACAAGATATAAATCACAATGTTAATTGCCCTATTAAAAGCAAATGAAATACTATTTTCATCAAGCTATAAACCGAGAGTTCAGGCAATCTCTTACCGCTCAGACTCTTGATCAGTACATCTGTGCCAATGTCACAGTATCGAGCCAGGACAACCGGAGCCCTGCCTTGAAATGATATTTCACCTGGGCCCTGGTGATAATTGATTTCCTGCCTTGCTCTGCCAGGTCTGTGCAGTGTAATACACCTCTAATTATCCACCGCTGAAGGCCTCATAACTTGAATTCACTGCAATGATGCTCAGACAGGATATGTCTCAGCTCAGTGAAGGCATATGTTACTCAATACTGCATTTGTTTAATTTCTTGTTGTTTTGACCTCTGGTGCCATAGAATTAGGCTAAAATATCCTTTACCAGCATCCAGTATATCTAGTAAAGTTTGATTCAACAGTAATGTTCTTGGCACATGCTTTCACATAAAGGCTGAAAGGAAATTGCATATTTTAATAATCCGCAATTGTTAATGTTTACCATTTTCTCAGACAGGCTTTTGCTCGTTTCTAATTTTTGAGTTTATATATCCACTATGGAGGATCTGTGCTTTTATACAATTTCACGGAAACTACACTGTAAAAAAATTCCGTAAAATTTACGGTAAAAAAACGGCAGCTGTGGTTGCCGTAATTTTACCGTAAAAAATATGGTAGCAACGTTTTAGGTTTTACAGTTTTAACTTAAATTTACAGTTAAATACTGTAATTTCATTAACTGATATAATGTTAATATACCAACCTATTGAAGTACTGAAATCTGTTTTGTACCTTTGTAATACACTGATAACCACCAAAAGCAGGTGATGATGAGAAAGTCACATGATGAACCAAAGCCTATCACAAGCAGCTTTTAAATAATAACATATATAGAAGGTGCACAGTGTCATTCACACAAACACCAAACACCATCATAGTAACACACATGAAACTGAAATAATGCAATAAACATTCATTTAACAACATTAGGTGTAACACACAACCCTAATATACAAAACTGATAAGAAAAAACTAAGAAGAAACATTGTTATTTCAACAAAAAAAACATCACATTTGAAATGTGTTCGCAGGGAATTCTGGGAATGTCAATTTACGGTTATTCACTGTAAATTATATTGTCTTTTTCACTTCCAAAAATGGTATGCTACCGTAAAATTAATGTCCAATATGTGTAATGTCCAATACAATTTTTCATCGTATATAGTAGGGGAATTTACCGTTAACCATTTAGCAGGTTTTTACTGTAGCATTTTTACAGTATTTTACCGTTAAATTCACGGTCATTTTTTTACAGTGTATCCAAAATAAGGTAAAACTTTGCCGTAAAACATTGAGCTTTTCTGGTTGTGAGAGGAAACCTGTAGTGGACTAAAATTTGGTACAATGTGAATGCCAAAATAAATAAAATCATGTATGCGTGCATGCATGCATGCAAGAATAAATAAATGAGTTTAATCATGTAGCAAAAGACGTTAACCTTGCACAGTGCTGTGCAGTTTCATTTTTAGAATAAAGAGAAAAATTACTGTGGCCGCACCCTGCTAAACAAATCACAATTCTGAAAACAAAATAACAAGTCTAGAAACAAAATAGCAATTTATAAACACAATGTCAAATTCTAAACATATACTTCGGAATGTTGCGACTGACCAATCAGAATCAAGTATTCCACGGAGCCGTGTAATAAGCTGTGTTATTAGCACACATTGTGTCGGAGGTGCAGTTCTCAGACATATTCATTGATCAAGTCATTGATCAAAAACACACTATGCTGGGACAGTGTTTCCTTCCTCAGATCCCTCCTAATCATCAGCGTTAGCAAGCAGTGGGTAACTTATTAAAGTCAATCTCTCTTTGGCATGTGGTTAATTGAGTCTTCCCTGTATTGAATTATGCATGATTCTCTTGAGCAGGTTTGATTATCAGCCCCTAGAAGCTCAAATTGCTCATCATGTAAAATCACATGCAACATCCCGCATAGCATTTCAAATCTGGTCACAGGCTATGTGCTAGTCTAATTACTGTTTACTGACAAACGTACTGTACCTAATCTATTAGTTGTTCAAAAAACACAAAAGATATACTAGAATACTCGCATACTTCTCACTGCATAGTGTACACTAAATACTGCTTACCTAATGTTCAAAAGGTTTGGGTTTAGACATTTTCAAAGGAGAAGTCTCTGAATTTATTATGAAAAGTACAGTAATACAGTAATATTATGCAATGATATTTTAATCTAAAATAAACATTTTCCATATATATATATATATATGTTCAGTTTTGTTGGCATCCATTTGTAGTTTTGGAAATAAAACAATTATTTTGCATTTCATATTGAGTTTTAATGTAAAAATGTCTTTAAGAAACAAGTATTACATGCAAAGTTTCATTGCACACAGTATACAGTATTACATAATGGAGCAAGTATAGCAGCATGCTACTCCAAACATATAAAGGAATATTCTGGATTTAATAAAGTCATGCTCTAATTTTACAGCATACAGTATGTGACATGCCAGAGCTTGTATAAACTTTATGTAAACTGAATGTCCCTTCTTTCATATAACCTGGTGCTGTAATTTATATAAAGGCAATGAACTATGAAAAATAAAACCTGAAAATGTATGCTCGCTATTTTGTTTTTACATTATTGTTGCATTATTTTTTTTATTTTTTTTTTGAGTGAAGAGGATCAAATTTATATTAATCTGAACTTTCTCATTTAGTGTCTGTGGGTGACTAAACTGTTGCATGGACTTACTGAAACATGTTTGGCCCTGCTTTTGAGTACAATTGTGCTCATAAAAGTTTGTCCGTCTCCTGATATATATAAACACACACACACACACACACACACACACACACACACACACACACACACATACACCACACACACACACACACAAACATTGACCTTGGTGAATTGTGTGTTCAGAGGCTTTCAGCAGGCACTAGAGTGTAATGTGGGTGGACTGGTCTATCATACCTCTCTCCCCCAGGCTGGCTGCAGCCCACAGCTTCACCTCTGCTAATCAGAAGCTCTCATCATCACGGCAGTGTAGTGATACTGGGTCAAACTGGCTTCGCTCCTACATTCACCACTACTGAGTCTCCTTAGAAGCACGGCTGACTGGGCTGCAGCTCAAAGCTATAGAAAAATCAATGTAGACCAATCTTTCACTCAGATTCCAAAGCTCTGCCAAGCTAATTCATCAAGTTTGCCTTTTCACCTTAAATACCTAGAATATTGACCATTTTTTAGTGCCTCATTTAAATGGACTGAGTTTATTTATTTTTTCACTCCAAGGGTTACTTCAAAATCATTTCAGCTCAGAAAATAAGAAATTGCTCCATAAGGTTTCGCATATAGTAGCAGTAGTAGTAATAATAAAAATAATAATACATTATAAAGTAATAAAATATCATAAATATAATGTAACTAAATGTTAAACTTTACAGAATGTAACATTATTGCAATTGCATTTTTTTTTGGTCCGGAAAATTTATCATAATTTATTTTATTTATTTTAACAGATAGGAGGCAAAAAATGTAATAGGAATTATTTATTTTCCAGGTAGCATTTTACACATTTAACACTGTTCAATAGTTTTAAGATTTAATCGCGCAAAGGAGCATTAATTCAATTTTTTTTTTAACTGTCAGTTAAAATGTTACAAAAGATTTCAAATAAATGCTGTTCCATTGTTCTGTGTAAACTTCATATTCATCAAAAAAACCTGAATAATAAATTTCCACAAAAATATTAAGCAGCACAACTGTTTTCAACATTGATAATAATAAATGCTTCCTGAGCACCAAATCAACATAATGATTTGGTGAATTCTGAAAGATCATATTCCAAACGATCATGTGGCACTGAAGACTGGAGTAATGATGCTGAAAACTCAGCAATTCTTCACAGGAAAAACATGTTTTAACGTACACATTATATGCAATATATAATTTCAGGATGGCAGTAGTCTTCCACAAGCCACTGCAACATTGCGTTCAGATCTGTTGTCATTCTGAAATTGGCAAATTCTGATCTGAAACAAGGTCAGGTCATGAGGAATATATAACACTGTTTTTGTACTGTATGTTGAAGCGCTGTAGGGATTTTGCTTCCTGACTGGAATAAATGAATCATCTAAATGGAGGGAGTTTTGGCACAATGATGATAATTGCCTGTTCCCATGCATTAATCTGCACTTAATCTAGACTAATCTCAAGCCACAGGCCTTTATTCTGGAGCTGCGCACATCATTCACAAGCCTCTTGTACATGCGTCAAATAGAGGACTATTCTGTGAGATAAAATGCATACATTTCAGAAATCAAAAATCCAAATTAAATTTCATAAAAATTTCAATTTAGTTAAATTTGTTACATTTGAATTGGCGCAAACATCCACATCCCCATGATCAGATGCTTTATTAACTGTCCTTTACACTGCTGTCAGTTTGGTTGTGTTATTGAAAGGATGACACAACAAGATTCCCATCTTAATGCATTCAAAAACTGACAAAACCTGTTGCATTCCTGGGTCAATTTTTATTCAGTGGAAAGTAAGCTCATAAAAAAGTCATAACAACATTCTCAGTCATCACATTTTCAAATAAAACCATATTGTATCTGATGAATAATTTCTCATTAAAGGCAGGGTTGGTGGTTTGGTTCAAAACCAGTTGAAAGTCTCTTCACATCCCGCTTAGGGTTGGGTATCGTTTGGGTTTTTTATGATACCGGTGCCAAATCGATACTTTTAAAACGGTACTGGTGCCGAAACGGTGCCTGAACCGATACTTTAAGAAAAAATAGCAACAAAATGATGGTGGATGACATTAATGAACGGCTTTTTTATTGCAAAACAAAACAAAACATGTATTATCATATGTCTACTTCAGATTTCTTTTGAGAGAAGTATGTGTTTCCTATTTTTACTCAAAATAGGATGTATTGGCCATTATTGAGTGCTATACACACATGTAATGTTTCATTCATACTGGTGGCCTGGCTTTGGAGAGTGTAGCAGATTAGCTCAAAAGTGAAATGTATATAAATAATTACAATTCATTATAATTAATTGCAATTATTTACCATCAACTAATCTTTTCGTCCAGCGAACATTCAGTGTAATTACCTCTCAACTCCAAGAAATTATATTTTCATGGCCACAGACTACAGAGAAAATACACACAACCGTTCCATAGCACATTGACTTTAATCTTGTTTCTTGTCTTTATTAATTTCATGTCTCATTTCCTATTATGCTCCTCCTGTATTCCACTTATCTCTACTATCAAAACTTGTTCTCAGAGATCCAATTCAAATCTTGCCTTTGATCAGCAGGTCCTTCAGTCTGTCTTTATGTGATCTCTCTATTATATTAGCAGCTCTGCTGATCTTATTTTGAATTCTCTCTGTGTTTGTCTTGAATCTCTCATTTGGGATTTAAATGGATATTTGACCCCAAAATGAACAATTATTCACCCCACATGTAATTCCAAATTTGTATGACTTTCTTTCTTCTGTGAAACATAAAAAAATTGAAAATGTCTCAGTGTTTTTTTTGTCCATCCATATAGTGAAATTGAATGGGGTCCAATGTTGTTTGGACTCCACTGATCAAACAGGTTTGCACTGATATGAGGGTGGGTAATTTTTGACTTTTTTAACTATCCCTTTAAATTTAACAGCCACAATATGTGAGTCTACTATGAATAAATTCTGTAAATGAATTGTGACACTTTTTGCTTTGAGCAGTGTCAGAGGCTGGCATACTATAGATGAGATGTGCTTTGCTTCTGCAGACCTCAGTGATGTGCTCAATTTTCAGGGTTTCACGGGATCGCTCTGTTTCTGTTGCCCCTCTCACACCTAACTTTTTCGGAGCCCCTGTGCTTTACTTCGCCGCCCCCTCCCACTTCAGCTGCTATCTCTCTGCACCACAAACACAGGAGAAACGCCTGCTTATGAAAACCTCTTTAAACCTGTTAGGAGCCTAAACAACTTTACAGCTTCAAGTAACTGTTTTCCGTTTTTTATATATTTTTAAATGTAATTTATTCCTGATGGTAAAGCTGAATTTTCAGCATCATTACTCCAGTCTTCAGTGTCACATGATCCTTCAGAAATCATTCTAATATGCTGATTTGCTGCTCAAGAAACCTTTCTTATTATTATCAATGATGAAAACAGTTGCTCTGCTTAATATTTGTTTGTGGAAACTGCAACTTTTTTTCCAGAAAGTTCAGAAGAACAGCATTTTTTAAAAATAGAAATCTGTAACCTTTGTAACATTATAAACGCCTTTACTGTCACTTTTGATGAATTTAATGCAGAGATGCCCAAACAGGGCCCATGGTTGGCCCTTGATGACCTTTGATTTGGCCCACCATGCCATATCACAAAAAAAAAGAAAACAAAAAGGATTGAAGCATATCTTAATTTTTAATATATATATATAAATATTTCATTTTTGGATTAAAATGTACATTAATTGAATGAAAAATAATAAAAAAATATTCAAATGAACACATTTTAATATAATATAATGCAACACTTTTGGCCCACGGCACTTAATCAAGTTTGTTTTTGGCCCTTCATGTTAAAACGTTTGGACACATTTGATTTAATGCATCCTTGCTGAATATTAGTATTAATTAGTTTTAAAAGACTCCAAACTTTTGAATGGCAGTGCATATTTAATTTTGAATAGTAAATTCTGGTGGTACCTAATTAATTAATAAATAACTGTTTTTTATTGCTTTTTGTAATAATTCCAATAGCATACAATATATTCATAATCATTTATAACATTTCACTTTCATAACATTTCAAATGATATGAACTGGATGTTGAATGCAAAAATCACTTTTCTGTTACAATCTCAATCAAATATAACTGTTTTTGCACACTTTGAAAGAGCTACCACTATGCAGGAAGTGTGGCTGATTGTTACACATCATTCAGACAATGTCATTTCTAATTGGGCATTTCTTGATCAAGTGTTTTTTATCCTCAGATGCCAGGTCCTGCTCAGCCGGGGAGTTCCAGTGTCGTAACCATAAATGTTTAGCACCGGTCTATGTGTGTGATGGCGATGATGACTGTGGAGACGGCAGCGATGAGGAGAAGTGCTCTCCGCCCACCTGTGGGCCGCATGAGTTTCGCTGTAACAGCTCCGAGTGTGTGCCACAGCCCTGGACCTGCGACGGTGACCCTGACTGTGCTGATGGCTCTGATGAGTGGGCAGGGCGATGTGGGGGCAGGTCTGGACGGCCGGCTCCGCCCCCTACCCGGAGACTGCAGTGTGGTGCTGGAGAATTTCGTTGCGGCAGTGGGGAGTGTGTGAAACTTTCCTGGAGGTGCGACAGGGACCCTGATTGCAAGGACAAGTCAGATGAGGCAGACTGCCGTGAGTGCACTATCACTTACTTCCTACAGAAAGTCCTTGGATCTCACTGTACAACCTTGACCCTAATTTGACACTAACTACTTTATATTAAAATGGTAACACTTTATTTTAAGGAACAGTTCTCACTATTAACTAGTTACTTATTAGCATGCATATTACTAGCATATTGGCTGGTTATTAGTACTTATAAAGCACATATTAATGTCTTATTCTGCATGACCATATTTTAGATCCCTTAATCCACTTCATATTTAACTTAACAACTACCTTCCTAGCTATTAATAAGCAGCAAATTAGGAGTTTGTTCATGGAAAACTCCTATGCATGCTAATAAGAAATTACTTAATAGTGAGAATGTGTGTGTGTTTTAATTTTAATTAAGAGATTTATTTTAATATATTAATAATTTATTAATTTTTATTAATATAATTAATAATATTACTAGTAATAATAGTGGTTGAGAACTGCTGTCTTACACTGGCCCCAGGCCCCAAGGTCAACTGTAGTTAATGCTCATTGTTTTTGTGCCATAAAAGTTTTGCACCCACCCGGTTCATTAGGATACGCGTGCAAGACTCGACAATGAGGACTGGCCAGTTGTCTGAGTCAATGTAAAAGACATTTGACGGAACTTTGGCCCAACTGGGCATCACAAAAGTTCATCATTTGCATTCGTTTTTACGTCTTGCCAATTTAAACATTCAGTCGATTTTAAGCCATTTAAGCTCAGATAGTGACAGTTGCCCAATATACCTGCTGCTGTCTGTCATTAATGTTGACAACAAAAGACAGAGAAAGATTACTCACTGCTCTTGACTGAATACATTTTTGCAGTTTTCATAAAGATGAATCTATATTTATTTTATACAGACTCTGCAGAATTATTTTACATTCCATTACTTCATTCATTTCCTGTGGTATATCTTACCTTACTTACCTATCTGAAAATCTTAAAGGGCACATCGGATGCCCATTTTTCACAAGCTGTTATGATTCTTTAGGGTCTTCCTGAAATGTCTGTAACATACTTTGGTTAAAATTCCTCAGTTTTCATGTAAAACAACACCCTTTTTGTCAAAAACAGCTTTGTTTACAGTGACCTGTTTCGGTGTATGTCCCTTTAAAGGATAATGAGCTACTGCTCACCCCACCCCTCTTCCGTGGGGCGTGTCACACAAGATGCATGAATTGCTGCCTTGGACTCCGTATATATGCCTCGGAGGTGGTCTTATTCAGATAGCTAGCTACCTGCGTAGAAACCAGCTGCGTATTGAAACAGCACGATGGATGACACAGTTTCAGACTCAGACAATGCATATCGAACTGGCTGTGTGTTTTCTTTTCAACTTTTCTGAGCTGGCAGACTCGCCAGAAACCTAACTAAATACAAAAAAAAACTTGAAAATGTCATCCAGTGTCCCCTTTAAAGCACTTGTTGTATTTCACTGCTATCTAAAATGGTGGTGTCGTAACAATCGTCTTTATTAGAATACAAGGTGACATGGGACAAAAACAAAAAAAAATAAATTGGAAAAAATGTAATCACTGGCCCGATCAACTGCCTGTGTAGGATGTTCTATTTATGAGAAATTCTCTTTCATAACAGTAGCATTTAAGAGGATATGCAAGAATGTGGATTGGTTTTGTAACATGCTTGTGTGTGTGCATGAGCCCTCTCTCCGCTTGTCTTTTTGTACATTGCATGGTTCATCTTTCTTTCTCTCTGACTCAGTTTTCACTTACTGAACTTGTTGGCTGCTGCATAGTTGCACACAAAGCAAACAGTCCCAGGGATTGTGCATGAAGGTGCTTGGCATCACCACCACATTTGTGCAAATATCTTTGCAGGACTCTCAGCAGGAGTTCTCATTGTGAGGGCCACACAACCTCAACAATGTTTCTGAAGAGCACGTCGCTCTTACATGCTCCGATGGGAATTCAATTCTCTTATACACTGTGAGGTTTTGCCAGAGATACGGCAAATAATTATTTTCTGACTGCCTGCCATTTATTATCTATTCCACCCACACAAAGACAATTCGTATTATTGAAGCCATTATTGCCACGTGACTCAAGGCATTTGGTGTGGAGATACACTTTAATTTAGTTTGACAGTGATGGCAGCATATACACCATTGTTGTGTAACATCATAGCATTTTCGTGCACTTTTGCAGTACGTTAGCCAAGTGTTTGTGTATTCATGTAGAGTACAGTGTTTCTGATCTTCCAGTGCACTTATTATATAGAAAGCCCTCCCGGAGCATCCTGGGGTTAAATGGGCTGTTCAAGGGCACAGTGCTGATGCTCATGAATGTAGAGACTACTCTGCACAACCCACACATAACACCATTTATCTTTGTGCCGCATCTTAATGGGTATAAAAAAAAACTTAGAATTAAGCTTCAGTGAAAGCATGTATCCTTCGCTGCCTGATATGACAGTTTGTGCAAAGAAAATGTAATTATTTATATTGAAGGGATAGAAAATTCTGTCATTTCTATCATTCCAAACCCATAAGACTTTCTTTCATCTTCAAAACACAAATAAGGATATTTTCTGACAGATTTGGAGCCTGAGTCTGCACA